GGTCACTGGGCCATGCCCTTTGTATGTAGGGCTGGGTATAAAAGCCTGAGTCAGGCCCAGCAGCTCTCGCTGTGTCGTGGCTCGCCACACCAGTCCCCCACTCTCTGCCCAGTGCTCATTCACTGCCATCTGCCATCCTCACAAGACGCCAATCCAAGGGGGCTGCCCGATCTTGGTCTCAAATCTGCAGAACTGTAAGCTAAATTAGCTTTTCTTCTCTTTGTAAAGTTAGCTTGCTTTGGGCATTTCATTGCAGGAGTGAAAAGCTAACACAGAGGAGAAGGACACAGCTTTCGGCAGGGTATGGCCTGGGCTTCCCTGCGAGGAGTCTTAGGATCTGCACCAGAGGGTGCTCAGAGGAGCCCCTTCTGGCCTCCTTCAGGGGAGAAGGATGGGAAAGTCACAGGCCCTGCTTCTGCTGTTTTCTCAAATGCTACAGCGCTAGATTTGGGTAATGTTTCCTGAACCTCATCGTATACGTACATCAAAACTCATCAAATTGTAAGCTTTGTATATGTAAAGATAGTTTTTTAAAAAAATATTTAATTATTTGAAAGGTAGAGTTACAAAGAGAGAAGGGGGAGGAAGGGAGGCAGGGAGGGAAAGAGAGAGAAAGAGAGAGAGAGAGAGAGAGACTCTTCCATCCACTGGTTCACTTCCTAAATGGCCACAACAGCCAGGGCTGGGACAGGCTGAAGCCAGGAGCCAGGAGCTTCATCCAGGTCTCCCACATGGATACAAGGGCCCAAATACTTAGGTAATCCTCCAATGCCTTCCCAGGCACATTAGCAGGGAGCTGGATGAGAAGTGGAGCAGCTGGGACTCGAACCTGCACCCATATGGGATGCTGGCATTGCAGGCAGCAGCTTAACTTACTACACCACAACACCAGTGCCATAAAATTAGTGTCAATTATGCTTCATGAAGCTACAAAAATACTTAGAGAACGTTATGAACTTCACCTTTAAAGTATATGACGTGAATGAATTCTTGGAAAAATACAAAAATTGCCACCAGGGATGGGCGTTTGGCGCAGCAGTTGGGCCACCACTTGATAGACCTGGTCTGTCTCTGGTGCCTGGGTTCCAGTCCCAGCTCTGCTGATTCTTCCTGCGATTGTATACTCTGGGCAGCTGCAGGCTCGTGTGCTCAGTTCCCTAACCTCTGAATGGGAGACCTGGATGGAGTCCCCGCTCTTGGCTTTGACCTGACTCAGTCCTGGCTGTTGTGGGCACGTGGGGAGTGAACCCGCGAATGGAAGATCTTTGTCTGTCTCTGTCTCTTTCTGCCTTTCATATAACCATCAAAAATAGGTAAAATCAGGCGGAAGATAAAGATGCCCACGAGTGTGGCTTCTAGCGAGTGTCTGTCAAATTGGAGGCTCCACCAGTGCAGAAAGACAGAAAACATAATTAAGGAACAGCCTCAAGACATTAAAGGATGAAAAAACCCACTTGCAAATGAGGCGGTTATGTACACAGAAAACCCAAAAGAATTCCTGGGTGTTCTCCGAGAGTTGAGAAGAGAATTTAGCAAGGTTTGCCAGATAACAAAATCAACATAGAAAATCCCCTGATATATCTCCCTCCTGGTAGAAGCGGTTGGAAAATGCAAATAATAAAAGCAATGGAGTAGCTCCTCCCCTGGACAAGATGGGCGGCCGTGCCTGCTAGCAAGCAAGTGAAGGGGTAGCAGGTGCGGGGTTACCAAGCCGGGATCGCCTGCTCCTTTCTCCAGGGCGCTGGGTGCCATTTCTGTAGCAGTCACTGCGCAGGACGCTGCCCACCTGGGCCCCAGGGGTTCCAGAACACAGGCAGGCCCTCCAGCCGAGTGTCTCCCGTAGAAAGCAGAACAGGGCCAGTGGCACAAGGGCCAGAGGGTGGGGAGAGCTGCTTTCCACCTGGAAGAGCCTTCTTGGAGGCAGAACGCACGGAAGGGGACTCAGATGGAGGGGACCCTGTGGCCCGTGGCTGGAGGCGGGAACACAGGCCATGAGTATTAGAGGCAGGAGGGACATGCTGCTGACTCAGCGAAGCGTGGGTGTGTTGCTAACGCTGGGACTTGGGGCGTCGCGAGGATGGCGCACACACCAGGGAGCACAGCAGAGACCTGGGAGCAGCGGGGCTCAGCGAGGGTCATTGGCTCGGGTCCCTGCACTGCGCGCATGCGCAGCCCTCCCGGCCTCCGAGGTTGCGGGAGAAGCCAGGCCCGCAGGGTGGGCTCACGGCAGGGCCCAGCGAGCCTGGGTGGCTGCGCGCCAGGCTGCACTGACCGGCGGTTCGGGAAGAAAGAGGCAAGGGGCCCTGGATGTTTGAACAGCTGCGGTCGCTCAGGGCTGCCAAGCGTGTTCCCCTCTCCCCTCCCCTGCTTCCGGGCAGTGGCGCCCGGTCCTACCTGGGGATCGGGCAGGGAGAGGATCCCTTCGCGGAGCTCCAGGGCTGGAGACTCAAACAGGCAGCCTGGGGGAGGCAAGGGGTCTGTATTTTCTCCTAGGTGGGTTTGTGGGTGGGGGAGCTCGGGAGCCCGCGGGCCATGGGGGTCCCGGAGGAGCGGTGGCCACTCTGATTCCCACGTCCAGGGCGGGGGAAGTTGCAGCTACTTTGGGAGACAGAAGACCCCAGAGCTGGCAGGCCGGAGGATGCCTGGGGAGCTGAGCCTCCCATCTGCCCACTTCCTCGCTGACTATCCCTAGGAACATGGCGCAAGCACTTGGGCCGTGTAGGAGACCGGAAGAAGCGCCTCTCCCCTGGCTTCGGCCTCACCCGGCACTGGCCCTTGCAGCCCTCTGGGGAGTAAGCCAGGCCGCGGCTCCTGAGGCTAACAGCCTCCTGCATTTCTTAACACAGCAAGGCGTCCTCTTACCCTCTCCTAACCAGGACAGGCCACCTGCCAGCCACCATGAGCCCCGAGTTGTGCCCCATGTCACACGGCCTGGGAAAGGCTGAACCGCAGTTCTGTGCAGGCCAAGTGTAGTCCATGCAAAACCATCTTTCGGGAGCTGGGCGTTGGGTGCAGTGGTTAGCGCTGTGAGCTGCCCGCGTGCCGCGTCCAAGCCCCTGGTTCCAGTCGGGGCCGCTTCTGACTCCAGCTTCCTACCAGTGCACACCCTGGGAGGCAGCAGGTGAGGGCTTGAGGGGCCGACCCCCCCACCCCCACGGAGGGGACCCGGAGTGACATCCCAGCTCGGGCTGGCGAGGACATTTTCAACAGTGGACCTGCAGAGAAAAGATCTCTGTCTGTCTGTCTCTCTGTGTGTCTACCTTTCAAATAAATTGGAAAAAAATAGATTTTAAAAATGAAAAATTCAATAAAACAATAGCTTTGGATCCCCCCCCACCACCACCACACTGAGCAGAGTGGCCGGCAGTGAGGCTCGGGGACTGTGCAAGGAGGTCCAAAGAAGGGCCAGGAAATTCATGCAGCCCCTCCTGGCAGAGAGCTGTGTTCCCAGTTGCCCAGCCGGGACCGCACTATCATATCCAAACTCAATGGCATCCCCTCCCCCACACCATGATGGATGGGCTCCAAAACACTGCCCCTTGACGGCTCAGGGCCCAGCCCCTTCCCTCAGCAGTGTTGAGCCTCAATCTTTCCATCTGTAAACAGGGGGCATGCCCCCCACCCCCAGCCAGGGGTGACAGTGGAGATAGAACAGGTGGACGAGGCCCAGGCCAGCCCCACAGCCCCAGAGCTCAGCACCGGGGAGGAGCGGCCTTGGAAATCCCCGTGCTGGGCCCTGACCTGAGAGCGGGGTTTTCCTGCCTCCCAGCGGATGGCAATCCTGCTGCTGTTTTTCCAGTGTTTTCCAGCTGTAACCATGTAGCACAGCCCCCAATCCCGGGGCGGTGGCGGGGGCGGGGGGCGATTTTGCTGACTCTGCCTTTTTGCTCCTGCCCAGCACAAACAGGAGGAGGCCCTACAGGAAGGAAACACCTCTGCTCCCAGGGAGCCTGCTGTCCCTCCCCGCTTGTCGCCTGCAACATCCAAGGGGTAGAACTACCTGCCTGGGCCCTGTGACCAGGAGGGGCCGGGACCGGGTGCCCAGGGAGATGCTGGAGGGCTGGGCCCTCTGAATGCCTCATTTCATGGATGCTGCCCCTCCTCCCACCCTGTCTTTCTGGACACTTCTCCCCTCTCGGTCACTCACGCAGGCGGATAGGCATGGGAGACACAAGCTCTCCTGTGTCCACTCGGACGCAGCGGTGGTCAAGCAGGCATGCCTGACCCACCCCTGCCCTCTGAGGAGGCTGAGCACGAAAGCAGGCTGCTCCATCAAGGGGCCTGGGCCGCGAAGCCTGGGAGAGACATGACTCCTGTGTGGAGCTTTGGTTAAGGGGCTTCTAGCACAGGGGCAGCTGCTGCAGCCAGGGCCACTCCTGGGGGGTCTGTTAAGCCTGGGACCTGGTTCTCCTCCGCCTCCTCCTGGAAGCCCTCCATGTCTGCCTGCTCCCTGCTGAGCCAGCACGGCTCTCTTGGCCTTTGACCACCTCCCTGGCCGGGGCAGGCACAGTCATCCATGCACCAATGTCAGGGGCACAGCGAGGGGGGTGGGGTGAGGGCAGAGGAGCCACACTGCTGGACTTGATTCCAGCTGGGCCCCTTTCAGCTGCGCCACTTGGGACAAGTTGGTTAGCTTCTCGGAGCTCCCATCTGCCACGTGGCTATGAGAATATTCAGCTCGTGAAAGGAGAGGCGTTGTGTGCAGCGTGCGTGGCACAGAGCAGCACCCAGGAAGCGGCCCCTGCGGTGATGGTCCTGGGTATCCAGGCCCCAGGAGGTCTGGGCTGGACTGTGTTCATGGTCAAGGGCGCTGTGGGTGGGTGGTCTAGGAGGGCGGGGCGGGACAGCTGCTTACTTGGCCAGCTCGTCCAGCCAGGACACCCGTGTTTCTGAGCATGGTGGGCACGTGAGGGAGGCTCCTCCCCGCTCACCACCAGTAGTCATGAGAGCCAGGGCCTTCCATTGTTCCGCTCGGTCCACTCCCTAACCGCAGGCGCAGTTCCAACTGCACAGTCAGCAGTGTGGGAGTTGGTCGTGAACTTCACTCTCTCTGTCTCCCAAGCTCCCGGAAGCAGGGGCACCACCAGGCTCAGACAAGAAACACTGACTGAGATGCCAACGTGTAAGTCACGCCGTGCCCTGAGCGGACGCAGGGGAAGTGTCTGGGTCACGGCAGACTCTCAGTGAGAAGTGAAGAAGTGGATGGGCAAGGGGAGAGAGGTGAGGGCCGGAGGAGACAGCGCTGGTTGGCCAGAGGAAGGATGAAGGGGTAGAGGAAGGGGAACCAGGGAGGGAGACAGGAATAGGCAAGATAGTGGAGAGGTGGGTGAGGAACAGGAGGGGGAAATGGGTGAAACTGGGGAAAGGAAGTAGACAGAATCAGAGGACAGAGAGATTGAGGGAGGCGTGGGGAGGTGGATGGATGGGGGGATGAATGGATGGATGATGGATACGGATGGATAGATGGGTGGGTGGGTGGATGGATGGATGGATGGGAGGATGGATAGAGACGGATGGATGCTTGGATGTGTGGGGAGCAACTGGGAGCAACTCGGACTAGACTAAGTTACTGGAATTAAGACTTATTCTATGCATCTGCTCTCCCACAATATGGCGCTGAGAAGGGAGAAGCAGCTTCTACACAGCTGCCTCCAGTTCAACCAATAAACTGTAGGACCTGCTCCTGATTGGAGGAGAGCAGCGTACTCGGCGTGTGGGTAGCAGAGTTGGGATTGGTGGAAGAGGACTATAAAGGAGGAGAGAGACAACATGCACCAGGAACATCTAAGGGGAACACCTGTGCAGCCCCCGAGAGAGCCGGCCGGCGGTGTGCCGCTCCCCCGCGGAAGTGGGGAAAGTGGCTAGGGGGAACTGCCCTTCCACGGAGGTGGAAGGGACGGCAGCCAACCCGGGAAGAACCAGCAGCAAACCCGGGGAGGGCCGAGCAGACAAAAGAACAGCGCAGGGTCCTGTGTCGTTCCTCCACGAAGACGGGGAGCGACAGGATGGAGGATGGATGGGGGATGGATGGATAGGGGATGGATGGATGGATGGGGGATGGATGGATGGGGACAGATAGATAGATGACAGGGATGGGAGGATGGATAGAGAGGGATGGATGCTTGGATGGATGGATGGATGGGTGGATGGATGGACGGATGGATGGATGGGGGATGGATGGACAGATGGATGGGTGGCTGGATGGAGGGAGGCTGAGTGGGTGAGGGGGGCAGGGCTTGCATCTACCTGGCCCTGCAGGCCCCAGCACAGGTCATGTGCCCATTTGATTTCAGGGTATGAGTATTTGCTGATCTGAAACCAGTGCCTGCGGGGTTCTGAGAATGCTAAAACCTCCTCTTGTGTCTCCTCCCTGGCTGGGAGGAGGACCCTGGAGAGGACAAAGAGAAGTCAGGCAGGAAAGTCTCTGCTGGGGGCACGAGGAGCGGCGGCTCAGCTGCTCGCTGTGAACGTCCCACCCTGGTGGCATATGGGGAACACGTGGCCCCTCCCTCCCGGCCAAGGAGAAACATCGTGCCAGGAATGCTGGCAGCCGAGGGCACGGAGCGTTCCCGGAGGGAACTGGCGTCGGGCAGGAGGCAGCGTTTGAAGCTACAGCCTGCAGCCTGGCTCTGGGCTGGGCCCTGCAGGGCTGGGGAAGATGAGAAGAGGTGGCTCGGAGCTCCCCTTTCTCTTAGGCTTTGCACTTGGGGGTGTCAGCAGGAAGTCGGGGTGGGGGCGGGGCACAGCCTCGCCTACAGGCTGCCCCTGGGAAGCAGAGTCCTGGGGCCACCGTCTCTAACTGCTTTGCTCCCGCCCTCTAGCCCGAGGAGTCAGCACTGGGGAAGGAGCCCTGGACGGGGCGTCCACTTACCCAACCTCCCGTCACCCTGGCCCCCGACTCGCTGTGCAGCAACTCCTCCTAGGTGTCTGCCTGGGTTTGGTTTCCCCGTTGTTCTAAACACTGTCCTCCCTACAACTGCTCAGGGATGGGGTTTCCAGCACCAAGGAGGAGAAAGAGACCCCATGACACCCACAACCCCCCTCTGGGGCCCTCACCAGTGCCCCTGGAGGCAGCAGCGGCCACGGAGGGCCAGGTGCAGGCAGAGTCCTGTCTGGAGCCAGAGCTGGGCCTTGCCCCTGCTCCCCCACCCCACCCCTACCCTGACCCCTACGGCCCATGGCTCAACTAGGCACTGTCCACTCCCCCAGACATCCTGTGACCAGGCCCCCGGCCAGCTCCCGACAGCAGCAATGTGGGTTTGGCGATTACTCCCTGCCTGCGAACGGCACTGCATCTGGAGAGAGTCAAGTTCAAGTTCAGCAGAAGAGCAGCAGCTTAGCTTGGGCGGGGTGGGTCAGGCCACCCGGGACTTGACTGAACGTTTGCAAGCCTCAGCGCATGCGGACGGGCTGGACTGGACCCTAGGTCCTTCCCTGCAGGCCCGCCAGACAGGGTGTGGGAGCTCACTGGAGGCGGTGGGAGTTAGGGGCCAGGGCCACTGCCAGGCCAGGCCAGGGCACCGCCCTTCGCTTTCTGCTCCCCGCTAGCTGCCCCTCCCCCAGGGACAGTTCTCCCTGTCCCAGCCACCAGCCCCAGGGGAGGGGGTCCCGGCAGTTCAGCAGAGTCTCTCCGTCCCCCACTCCAGCTTGGGCAGGCTGGGAGGCAGAGGCGCTGCAGACAGGCAGGGCCCAGCCTGGCTCCCTGGCTTCCTGGATTTGAGAGGTTCTGCTCATTTATTATTTAGCAAATACGTCTTAATCACTGACTGAGGGATGTGTAAAGCCCCCAGGGGCGGGCGGGGGAGCGTGTGATGTCTAGGGCTGGAGTGTGTGCCTGCGGCTGTGTCTGTGTGCCTCTGCCAGTGCACATGCATGTGTCTGCCCAGCTGCGTGTGCTTAGCTGTGGGGGAAATCAGGGAGGCCCTGGTGCTCCAAGAGGCCTGACTGCAGTGGGTGTGCGTGGGGGAGGCAGGTGCACCCACAGTTCCCAGGAGATGATGGTGGAGGGGGCTCCAGGTCCCCAGATAGTGTCACTTGCAAGACGGGCCCTGGGATAAACTCAGGAGCCTCGACATAGCTCAGCGAACGCTTGCAGTTTCGTCTTTATATGCTGGTAAGACACAGCGTCAGAAACGTGGATCAGGGGCTGGCGCTGTGGGGCAGTGGGTTAAAGCCGCTGCCTGGAGCGCAGGCATCCCATATGGGCACCGGTTCAAGTCCCGGCTGCTCCACTTCTGATCCAGCTCTCTGCTATGGCCTGGGAAAGCAGTGGGAGATGGTCCAAGTCCTTGGGTCCCTGCTCCCGTGTGGGAGACCTGGAAGAAGCTCCTGGCTCCTGGCTTTGGATCGGTGCAGCTCCGGCCATTGCAGCCATCTAGGGAGTGAACCAGCAGATGGAAGACCTCTCTCTCTTTTTCTCTCTCTCACTCTCTCACTTTCTCTCTCTCTCTCTCCCTCTTCTGCTCTGTAACTCTGCCTTTCAAATGAATAAATAAATATATGTTTTTAAGAAACCTAGATCAGTGGAAAGTCCGTCTCCCTCTGCAAGTTTCCTCCTCCCGAGACAGGGACTCCCCCAAAATTGCATTCATGGGACTGTGACACACAGAGAGCTGACCGGACCCAACCAGCTACCAGACGAGGCAGGCAAGGAGGGCTGGGCTGGAACCCAAACTTCTGGCTGCCCTTTGGGGCTCTTCCTCTGACTCCGGACCAGAGGCAAGGGGGACCCCTAAAAGGGCGTGGGACACCACCAGCGCCGGGGCCTTCCCAAGGCAGGAGCTGCACACGCAGCAGGACCTCTTTAGAGGAGGGTTCCTGGGGTCTGAGCCAACGCAGGAGCCCAAGGCTGGGGCCCCCAGACAGGGAGCCCCTGTTTCCTTGTCGGCCCCCCAGCCGCACCCCCACCCCAGGATCAGACTCCTGGAGGGGCGGGGCCTGCGCCCGCCTCCATGCATATTCTTCTGTCATTGCTGGTGCTAATGACAGCTCTCTGTAGTTTCTCTTCAGCTGTATTCTCCAGGCTGAGATCACCACAGAGGTAACCTTTGCAGGCTGGGGGGAGGGGGAGGGAGGCCAGGCCGGGAGGCTGCTTGCTGCTTGGCCAGCTGCCCCTCTCTGGGTCGGAGTAAAGACGAGCATCCCCGCTCCGGCAGTGCTGTGCCGCACAGCGCTGCTCGCTCCCCTGCCTTCTGCCTCCAGCACTCACTGCCCTGCCCTCTCTCCCCGCTGCTTTTGTCCTCTATGCAGGGCCTGGCTCAGAGGAGGTGCCCCGTGAGCGTTTGTTGAGTGAGTGACTGAACGAGCAGGTGAACACGGTATTTCAGCTTTGGGTGCCGACAGTCCTACAGGGGCTCCGCGGGGAGAGCTGTGCACCGAATGGGGGTGGAGGGGAGAGGAAGGACCCGGAAGTTCCGGTTACTGGGCGGGGCCTCTGCTCCACGGATGGCAGGGAGCCACCTGGACCGGAGTTGGGAAAGGCCAGGGATGCTGGGGGCGGGAAGGTCCAGGGAAGGGAGTCTGCCCGGGGCACCTCTCAGCCTGGGCAGGAGACGCCACCTGCCACCTCAGAAGCCCACATAGCCCCAGCGTCTGTCCCCATGCCCATGACCTCAGACCTCTCAGCCATGGGTCCTGTATGGCTAACCATTCACCCAGCAGGGGCAGGGGCATCGGGAACCCAAGACCTGCAGGAGGCAAAGGGCCAGGGCGATGGAGGGATAGGGAGCCTGCGGAGGTACGATGGGTGAGTGAGTGGGTGAATGAGTGGATGAGACGCTGGCCGTGGGGGTGGGGGAGGGGGAGCTTTCAGGGCCCCCACCCAGCTTGCCCCTGTAGCCTCCTTCCTGAGCGGCAGCCTCTTGGCAATGGAGGGGAGTCCCCCACTGCACCCAGCGCCCTCACAGGCAGCAGAGCACAGGTTCCAGGGCTTCGTCCCGGCTGTCCCCTCCTCTCTCTGGTCTTATCAGCTGCAGCAGCTTCAGTCACAGGGCAGGTCTGCTGTGCCATCCCAGGCAGGTTTGCTAACCTCTCTGGCCTCCCATTTTACCTGCCGTAAGGTGGGTGTTGAACGCCCCCAAGGTCAAGGCCCCTTCGGACTCAGACTCACCCCCAATCCCTGATGTGCCTGACCAGTGCTGGGGGGGACACGGGGACTACCAACGCCCAGGGCCAGGCTTTAGGGGGACAGCCGGGGAGACCCCAAGTGAATCCAGGGCGATCAGGGCTCCTGATGGAGGGGTGTTGGGCGGCCGGGGAAGGCTGAAGGTTGAGACAAGCCAGAGTAGCCAGAGGAGGAAGGCTCCAGGCAGGCCGCAGATGCCCATGGGGTCGCTAACCCTGCTTCCCGTCCTGCCCGGGAGCCACTCCCTTATCTACTTCCCTCCCTCCTGCCCAGGTCTGCAGCGCCCGGCCCCTCCACCGCCTGCTTTCTGGTGGCCGGCTTCTGCCCTCCTGCTTTCCGTTTGCAAGCAGGAATCAGAGGGCTCACCATTTCCGCAGCTCTCTTGCGGTTCCTGGATTCCTCCTCCATCTTTCTCTTGCACTCGCCCAGGAAATCCCAGCCTTGCGGGTGTTCCTCCTTAGCTGCACCAGGACGGGGAGAAAGCCATCGCCCCACCCCGCCCCTGGGCAGATGGTTCCCCTGGAGATGCAGGGGCCTCAGGGGGCCTCGTCATACCCCGCATGCACTAGGGGACCCCAGGGCCACTCAGCTCTCCACGCTGCATCGTGTCGCTTGCAGCTCCGACGGCTCGGCACCAAAGCACCCCAGAACGCACTGGCGTTAGAATGACACAGAGATTGAGAGAGACATAGAGGTAGAGGTAGAGATGATAATAGAGATATTGAGAGAGAGAGAGAGAGCACCCTTCCATCTGCTTGTTCACTCCCCAGATGGTCCCAATGGCTGGGGCTGGGCCAGGCTGAAGATAGGCGCTCCATCCAAGTCTCCCAAGTGTGAGTCAGGGGCCCAAGTACTCAGGCCGTCCTCTGATGCCCTCCTAGGAGCACTAGCAGGGAGCTGAATTGCAAGCAAAGCAACCAGGACACCAACTCATAGGGGATGCAGACTGAGACATCTGTGTCGCCAGCAGACGCTTAACCCACTGTGCTGCGACGCCAGCCCCCGGACCCCTTTTAGTTAGCTCAGAAATCAGTAGTTTGGGGGAAGGCCTGTCTCTCTGCTGCATGCAGCAATGGCTGGGGCAGCCCAAGAGGAGGCTGGGGGTCCACTCTGGAAGGTTGATGCATGTGTGTGTGTTTGTGTGTGCGTGCGCAGTGAGAGGCCTGGAGGAAGGAGAGAGGGAAGCAGGAGAAAGCATTGTGCAGTAATAGGGATGCATAAGTGACTCTGGGTAAGCGATTTTTGGGTGGTCTTTGTACTGCTTTTATTTTTGCAACTTTTTTCTGAAATGTGAACTTGTTTCTCCATGAAAAGTGAACAGAACAAATGGGAAAAGTTCTAGACATTCGGAAATTTTGTTGTTCTGTCACTACAGGTTTCACAGTGGTCACATTTTGACCTTTTGAAATGTGTTGAGACTTATTTTATGGCCCAGGAGAATTGTAGCAAATTCTATGTATCCTTGAAAATAATTCTATTCTTATGTGTGTCTCAAGATATACCAGGAAGATTTTGTTAGTTATGTTATTTATAACATCTGTTTCTTACTGGATTTTTTTGTCAGCTTTCCCTAGAAGTTATTGAGAAGGATGTGTTAAAATCACCTCTCTTGGCAGCTCACTAGGCTAATCCTCTGCCTGCGGCGCCAGCACCCTGGGTTCTAGTCCCGGTCAGAGCGCTGGATTCTGTCCCGGTTGCTCATCTTCCAGTCCAGCTCTCTGCTGTGGCCCAGGAAGGCAGTGGAGGATGGCCCAAGTGCTTGGGCCCTGCACCCGCATGGGAGACCAGGAGGAGGCACCTGGCTCCTGCCTTCGGATCAGTGTAGTGCGCCGGCCATAGCAGTCACTTGGGGAGTGAACCAGCGGAAAGGAAGCCCTTTCTCTCTGTCTCTCTCTCACTGTCCACTCTGCCTGTCAAAAACAAAAACAAAAACAAAAACAAAAACAAAAACTCCTCTCTTTTGATTTCTTTATTCTTTATAATAATCTCATTTTTTGGCACATGTGCTATTAAGTGCCTATAAAAAACAGACAACAGGGACAGCGCCATGGCTCACTAGGCTAATCCTCTGCCTGTGGCGCCGGCACACGGGGTTCTAGTCCCGGTTGGGGCACCGGATTCTGTCTTGGTTGCTCCTCTTCCTGTCCAGCTCTCTGCTGTGGCCAGGGAGGGCAGTGGAGGATGGCCCAAGTGCTTGGGCCCTGCACCCGCATGGGAGACCAGGAGAAGCACCTGGCTCCTGGCTTCGGATCAGCGCAGTGTGCTGGCCGCAGCGCGCCAGCCGCAGCGGCCATTGGGGGGGTGAACCAACGGAAAAGGAAGACCTTTCTCTCTGTCTCTCTCTCTCACTGTCCACTCTGCCTGTCAAAAAAAAAAAAAAAAAAAAAAAAAAAAAAAAAAGACAGAGATAAAAAAAAAAAAACAAAACCAGACAACAGGGGACCGGTATGGTGGCATAGCTGGCCAAGCTGCCGGTTGGAATGCCAGCATCCCACACGGGGAATACTGGTTTAGGTCTCCATTGCTCCACTTCTGATCCAGCTCTCTGCGAATATGCCTGGGAAAGCAGTGGAAGATGACCCAGGTAGTTAGGTCCCTGCACCCACGTGGGAGACCCAGATGGAGCTCCTGGCTCCTGGCTTCTGCCTGGCCCAGCTCTGGCCATGGCAGCCATTTGGGTAGTGAACCGGTGGACGGAAGCTCTCTTTCTCCCTGCTCTCTCTGCCTTTCAAATAAATCGATAAAACCTTTAAAAACGACAACACCAAAAACAATTGAAACAAAGCGATTTCCCTTCATGACTTAGGTCAATCCAGCCACTGTCCCCTCCTGCCTCCCACAGCCCCTGGATCGTCTCTGGAGACCTAAGACTCATCAACGTCGCTTGGGACCACAGTGCCAGGGTGACCTGGGAGCCGCTGAGGAAAGCAAGCGACCAGTGCCACCTGAGCCCTGTGGAGTGGAACCTGTGGAGGCAGGGGGAGGCCCAGGACAGGTGGGAGCAGGCTTGTGGGTGTGGTTCCCAGGCACCTAAGGTGGGAGAAGGTAAGATACAAGACGGGCGATAAAAACAACAGCACTCGCCTTGGCCACTTCCTCATCCTCGCCTTCCGTCCAGTCCTCGGCCCAGCCAGTCTGGCTCCTGTCCCGTCACCTCGCTCAGCACGTTGACCCTCCTTGGGCTCAGGGATGCTCTCTGTAGCACTAAACCCAGTAGGGAGCCTCCGCTCCCCTCCCCCCAGCAGTGTTCCGTGTGTCGACCAATAAAGGAGAGCAGTTCCTTTATTGTCAAAATCATCTAGACATAACAACGAATACGCCAACTGATATGCATTGGTGACAAAGGGAAAAAGTCACCCAAACCCCCTTCACCCAGAAGTAGCTGCTACTAAAATGTGATGCATACAATTCTGGGGGTGTCTCTTAGGCACTCCTATAGACAGAGGATGGGTGGGTAGGTTATAGGGTCCAGGTTAGCAATTCCAGGCCGACCTTGCTAAAATACGAGGTTGAACAAACAAGGAGTTCATAGGAAATGGAATTAGAAGATAGGTTTACGGTGACACAGAAACTTTGAAATCCATGCATGATCTTTTCTGACTTAGAATTTTCCATGGAGTATTTGAACACCCCTCAGGTGCACAGGGTAGACAACCAGAGGCAGGATTTTCACTTTGAGAAAAAGAGGTTATGAGGAGGGCGTGGGGGAAGTTAGAACGAATGCTGTACTGCTGGATGCCAGCCAGAGATGTCAGTATGAACTCATGTTTCATATACACGCAGCGAGGCACAGAAATAAACGGCGCTCCGGGTATGCGTGTCTGTCCTAGCTCTGTCCTCAGACAGGGGCTGGGGGCTGGGATGCAGCAGGAGCGATAGGCCCCTGCTCGCACCCACATCTTGATCTCTAAACATTTTCCAGTACAGGCCCCTGGGCTACCTGCAGAAATGGCGATTCTAGAACTACACCCAAGAAAATATAAGGTGCTGGTGGCGGGGCTGGCACTGTGGGGCCGTGAGCTAAGCCTCTGCATGCCACCCGTGTCTGAGGGCCAGTTTGGGTCCCAGCTGCTCTGATCCCTCCACAGCTCCCTGCTAATGCACCTGGGAAGGCAGCAAAGGACGCCGGCCTAAAATCCTGGGCCCCTGCTATCTACATGGGAGACCAGAATGGGATTCCTGGCTCCTGGCTTTGACCTGGCCCTGGCTGTTACAGAAATTTGAGGAGTGAACCAGTGGATGGAAGATCTCCATCTGTCTCTCCCTCTCTCCCTTGTCATTCTACTTTCCAAATCAGTAAATCTTGTATCTGAGTTTTACAAGACAGGATGATTCTTGAACACCTTTGGTGCCAAAAAGCAAGAAAATATTTACCAAAAAAGAAAGAGGATGGAGGCAAGCCAGGACAGTGGCTACTCAACACTAGGGAATTACAAATTAGAGCCTGAGATACTTGTGGAGAGCTGCCCCAGGGCCCTGGGAAATCCCACAACTAAGGAGCATACAGGCCCCCAGTTCTGCCCAGAAATGCAAATGACCTACCTGGGAAAAACTGCTGAATCATGGGAAAAACTCACTCTAACTAAGAAAGGAACTGTGGTAACAAGTATGCTTCTTTGGCGTGTAGTCCATGCTGCAGCACATAGCCGCTGGCTGTCTTGCCTGCTGTTCCCTTGCACTGTGTTCAAGAAACCCGACTCTGCAAACCCTGAGGGCTGTGGTGAATTCTGCCAGCACGTGCAATGCCAGCCTCATTCACTCGCCTCCCACAACAATCCTCACACACACTCACGATTACACCAAAGGCCGGGGAGCGAAGAGGTGAAGCCACAGAGCTCGCTCGTGGCCGGTGGGAAGGCAAAATGGTGCAGCCACTTGGGGAGTGGCTTGGCAACTTCTTACAAAACTGCATAACCCCTTACCCTGTGAGGCCTGTGTCCAAAACCCCTGTGTATGCGTGGGGGGGGGGGAGGGGGAAGGGGGGGGGGGAGGGGGTCCCTGGGGTCCCAGCCCTCCTCTGGGAACACCTGAGGGGCGGCTACTTGACTCAATAACCCCATGCTGATAAAGCCACAAGGAGGAATTTAATGAATTCCACACCTGGAGAGGCTTCTGCCCAACAGATCTCAGGAGAGGACAGAGGGGGCGGAGAAACGGTGGGCCCTGCGCTCCCAGCCACTCCAATCTTGGTTCTTCGCCTGTCAGGTGTATTCTGTTCATTAGACCCTGCTTGCTTGCTCACGGCCAATCTCTGTCTCACGTCTGAAATTTTTTTCTTAAGGAAAGAGAAGAACCTCTGTTCCAGCCACCTCTGGTAACAAACAAAATGAATTGAAAATTTAGGTCTGCATAAAAAAATGAATACATGCAAACATTCACAACAGCTCCACTCATAACTGCCAAGACTTGGAAGCAACCAAGGTGCCCTTCAACAGGTGCATGGATACACAACATCCAGGCCACGGAATATTATTCAGAGAAAAGAATGAGCTGGACAAAAACACAGTGGTGCCCTAAGTGCACATCCTAAGTGGAAGAAAGTACTGTGTAGCTCCAACTACATGGCGTTCTGGAAAAGGCAAAACAACGGAGAGTCAAAACATCGGTGTTTGCCAGGGGTGCAGGAAGAGGGTGGGGGGATGCAGAGGTGGAGCACAGGATTTTTAAGCCCGTGGAACTCCTGTGTCTGATCCTGTGAGGGTGGCCACATGCCATTCCAAGATCCACACAGTCATGGACCGCTGTTGGCTCATCGCCGGTCGCATACGCGTGCCACTAATGCAAGGTGTTAATGATCGGGATACCGTGGGTGCGAAGGACTGGACGGGAACTCTGAACTTTCTGCTCAGCTTTGCTGCGAACCTGAAACTGCTCTAAAAGATAAAGTCCATGAAGTAATGACCAAAATAAAGAAAGAAAGAAGAAGAAAGGATTAAAAAAAAAAAAGACACAAGAGCCAACCTTAATAAAAACTCCCAAAGGCCGAGGCTGGAATAATTTAAGCAATGAAATAGATAATGGTGGTATTGAATTGCACTCCCAAGAATAAATATTCATGAGGTCGTACTGGTACGAACACATGATTGACTCAATCAGTACGTGAGGGACAAAGGACAGATCTTCACAGAGAGTTCCACACGGCAGCTTGGGAGGAGTGAGGGCAGCAGAGGAGCCCATAGAACACAGGGGCAGTCTCCTGAGGCCAGGCGGCTGGGTGATGTCCCCAGGGCAGCTCTCTGAAAATATTTAGTCATCATGGAGAGGATTTTAGCATTTGTCCGTACATTCCTTGATGCTCCTCTCTCTCTGCGGGGGCGGGGGGGGTGGGCGAGTGGCAGGGGGGTGAGGTCCCCTGCTTTGAGTACGTGGATGCAGTGAGCCTAGGACCACCTTGCTTCTTAAAGATGTCGGGCTCTTCTACTTCCGCTCATTCCGCCATTTTCAGTTCCGTGGGTGGGGAGCGCAACTTTCGTTCCGGGGCCATCCATAGAGCAGAACCCTGCCGTTCGCAAGGCGGTCAGCCCCGGTCCAGTTCAGAACCGACTGAGGTCAGCTCTTTCTTTTTTGTAACAACCACCTAAGAAACAATGATTTGCTAACCCAACACTTAGGGCTGGAACCTAGCACTAGAGACCAGGAAGGGTGCTTGGTACAGAGGTTAAACCGTTGTTTGGGGTGTCCGTGTCTTATGTTCCACTTGCCTGAGTTGCAGTCCTAGCTCTGTTTCTTGTCCAGCCTCCTGCTAATGCACACCCTGGAGGCAGCAGGTGTTGGCTTGAGTACCCAGGTCCCCGACACCCGCATGGGAGACCCCATTGAGTTCACTGGCTACTGACTGTGGCCTGGCCCAGCCCCAGTGTTGGGGGCACTTGGGGAAGGAGCCAGTGGATGGGAACTTTATGTCTTTGTGGATTTCAAATTTTTTAAAAAGTCTTAACGGAGTGGGGTAGGGGGCTCTGGGGAAGGAACTGAGACACAGCTGGGGAAACAGCAGGGGCTCCCTTGTTTGGAGGGGCATCAACAGGAGACCCCATGGTGGGGGCAAGCACAGAAGCAGGGCTACTAGAGGCAATGTGGTACCCTGGGTTGGCTTCTGGTACAGAAAAGGAGGTTCGTGAAAAACTGGTGAAACCTGAATAGCGTCTAAAATGCAGCTGCTAATGTTACACCAATGTTAGCGTCTGAGTGTGGACAAGTGGACCTTGGTTACATAAGACGTTACTGGGCAACACGTATGAGCGAAACCCTGCACACTGTCTGCAAATCTAAAATCATTTCAAAATATAATTCGTGCATCACAACAGAAGAAATTGCTAAATTTTAGATGAATGACTTTTTACATGACATGAGTTCCTATCAGGATCTTTAAGAAACATAATTGTGTAAAGTATTAATTATAAGATTATAATCATCATGTTATTTTTTAAAAGATTTATTTATTTATTTGAAGGCAGAGTTTCACAGAGAGAGGAGAGGCAGAGAGAGAGAGAGAGAGGTCTTCCATCTGATGGTTCACTCCCCAGTTGGCTGCAACAGCCAGAGCTGTGCCGATCCGAAGCCAGGAGCCAGGAGCTTCTTCCAGGTCTCCCATACAGGCAGAGGGGCCCAAGGACTTGCGCCATCTTCTACTGCTTTCCCAGGCCATAGCAGAGAGCTGGATCAGAAGTGGAGCAGCCGGGATGTGAACCAGCTCCCATATGGGATGCTGGCGCTTCAGGCCAGGGCATTAACCCACTGCGCCACAGCACCAGTCCCACATCATGTTATTTTTTAAGTGACATCTTTCATCTTCATCCCATAGCAACTGATTCTTGCTGTGGAAAATGAGAAAATAGCACATTCATACTTCTTCAAGCCCTCCTGCCCCATCTCTCAACGCTCATTAGTCTCATTAATATTGTTCGTGTTGTTGGTGTCTATAACATTAGCACTGTGTTCTACAGTCCAAATTCACTAAGTTTCTGATTTACTTATTGGGATGGATTCTGCTCTGATCACCAATATGTTTACCCTGGTTTTACCTTCTGAGATTTTTATGTTGACAAAGTCCTTTGTTGACTAGATTTGTTTTCTTTTTTAAACATTTTGCTTATTGAATTATTTTATTTATTAAAAAGGTAGAGAGACAGAGAGAGAGGCTGACAAGAGCTCTCATCCTCTGGTTCACTTCCCAAATGCCTGTGACAGCTGGGACTGGGCAGCCAGGAACGGAACTGAATCTGGGTCTTCCACAGGGTGGCATTAAGCTACCTACTCAGGATCTCACCGCTGTCTCCAGGGTGTTTATTAGTGATGCTGTGGATTCGTTCTGAGAGGAGGAAAATGGTAGGGGCAAGAGGCGCGGAGTCACCACACAGACCCCGGGGGGAGTAGGGTGAAAGCAGGCCAGAGGCAAGCAGCCTGCAGACTCATTTATTTCAGTTGGTACAGCAGCTTATATAGCCAAGGCAGCCAATCCAGTCAAAGGGAGGTCTGTGCCCTAACCAATTACAGCCTGTTGCCAGGCAGTATCCGAAGCCATCCAATCACAGCCTGTTGCCAGGCAGGCTCTGTTGCCATGTGGTTTCCAAAGCCATCCAACCACAGCCTGTTGCCAGGCAGGCTCCGTTGCCAGGTGGGTTCTGAAGCCATTCCTGAGTAACTGACGCTGGCTTGCCAGCGGCCATCTTGGCATGGCCTTCTCATTCCACTACACATTAGCAGGGAGCTGAAACCTGGAGTGGAGGCAGAACCCAAACCCAGGCACTCTGAGAGGGGCGCAGGTGTCCGAACAGCATCTTAGCTGCTGTGCCAAACAGCCACTCCCGTTGACTCAATTTCATTGCCCAATTATTTTACGAGGAACTGTGACGCAGTCTTCCCCTAAGTTATCAAATGCTCAGAAATGTCTATCTGTGGGCTCTGTGTTTGAAGGACACTTAGTTGGGTATCAGTTTCTTGGGTCACACTTTCTATCCTTGTAGTGGACCTTGTCGACGTTGCTCCACTGCCTCCAGCACACTGTGTTTCTAGAGAAATCTGAAAACAACCCGATTGCCCCCACTTGTGTGACTGGAGACTTTTGCCTGGCTGCTATAGGAGTCCTTCTTTAGCCTTGCAACTCGGTACCTCATCAGAATGCAATGGGCCAGCAGTTGAGATGCCCACGTCACGTCTCGGAGTACCTGAGTTCCAGTCCCGGGTCTAGCCCCCGACTCCAGTTTCTGGCTCCTGCACACCTGGGAGGCAGTGGTGACGACTCAAGTGTCTGGGTAGTCCCTGCCATCCACTTGGGAGACCTGGATTGGGCTACTGGCAGCTGGGGCCATCTGGGGACAACTGGGGAGTGAACCAGATGGGAGCTCTGTCTCTACTTCCATCTGTCTCTCTCAAATAAATAAAAAGTAAAAAAAAAAAAGAAAACGAATATAAAACTGGATGCTCACGGTCCTGAGCCAGCTTCCTGTCTCCACATTCAACCTTTTATTTCAGAAAATAAAGTTTTCCATGGTTGTGGTTTCTGGTTTTCTTTCCAAGCGCGCTCGCAATGTGAATGTCCTGGCTCTCTGGGATGCCCTCCTGTCCTTTCCTGCTTCCCTGTGACTGCTATGGGGTACGTCGAAGCCCTAACCCAGCCTCTCGGAATGTGACCTCATGGGAGATCCATGGCAGATCTGGGTCTCAGGCTATGAGGTCTGTGAGAGTAGGGTAGACTGGATTCCAATAGCATGGGCTCTTATATTTTTTTGAAGATTTATGTATTACTTGAGAGGCAGAGTTACGGACAGAGAGAGGGAGAGACAGAGGGAGGGGTCTTCCATCCACTGGTTCACTCCCCACATGGCCGTAATGGCCAGAGCTGTGCTAATCCGAAGCCAGGAGCCAGGAGCTTCTTCCGGGTCTCCCACGTGGGTGCAGGGGCCCAAGCACTCAAGCCATCTTCTACTGCTTTCCCAGGCCACAGCAGAGAGCTGGATCGGAAGAGGAGCACCTGGGACTTGAACCGACGCCCCTATGGAATGCCAGCGTCACAGGTGGATGCCTAACCTACTACAGCACAGGCCTGGTTCTTATAGGAGGAGGAGAAGAGACGCAGATCCACAGAGAGAAAGCGACATGGGGTGGTGAAGGCGGAGACCGGAGTGTGGCAGTTGGAAGCTGAGGAACCTCAGGGACAGCAGCGTCCCCGGAAGCTGGGAGGGGTCGCGGGCCAGACTGTCCCGTGAGGTGCTCAGAGGCAGCTGTCCCTGCCAGCAGCCGGGTGTCAGAGTCCCAGCCTCAGAACTGCGTGCCAGCGACTGTCTCGTGCCTGAAGCCGAGCCTTGGTGGCGCTGTGTGACAACAGCCCCACGAGACAGACGCACGGCTCGTCTCGGTCTCTGTTCTCCATGCTTGGGGTGTGGTTTTCTTCAGGTGCTCCTCCGTGTCTCTGTTATCCTCTGTGTCATTTGTCTTATTTTCGGGACGCCTTTGTAATTCCAGATGTCTTCGTCTGTTGCTTCCACTCCTTTCTTGAGTGCCCCCCACTCGCCTTCTCACTGTCTCGGCGCATGTGGAACCCACGTCCTGGTTCCTGGAGGGCAGATCACCTGCAACCTCTTTGTGTCCATGGACCAATCTGCAGGCGACGCCCCCTCTGTGGTTTTGCAAAATCCCCTTGTGATCTCGGCTCTTTTGCCTTCTGCTTGTGCATCTTCATTAATCGTTGGCTGCTGTAACAGGTACGTGAGCCGGGCCACTTAGGAAGGGAGGGGTTTTATTCCCTCTTATGGTTTGGGAGGTCCAATAGTCCAAGATGGGGCAGCCCGTGGGTACCGAGACTGTTGAAGCCAATGGGATGGTAGAGGAATAATCACGTGGTGACCTGGAAAACAGCCGTGAGGTCTGACTCAGTTTTCACACCCAACGCTCCCATGACAGTGCCCTCCAAGGGCTCACCCCAGTGACCTAAGGACCCCCCCAATAAGCTCACCTGCTAGCCAGATAATGGGAGCAAGCACCCACCTCCTAGTCCCACCCACCCGCAACTTTGGGCTTTGTATCTCTGCATGAGTTGGGAAGGCAAATCCTGGTCGGACTGTAGCAGAGCCTTCCACGCACTTCCTCTTGGTGTCACGTGTGTTTTAATAGTCCCCGGCCGGCTCCTCTGTCATGATGACTCATCCTGGAACACGGCCAGCCATGTGTGGAAGGAAGAGGCTGAAAGGGGCCGGGTGGGCAATCCAGGCAGCGAATAGGATCTTTGCTCTCAAATCCGTTCTTCCAAAGACCCTTATTCTGCTTGCCTCCCCCTCT